CGTATCGAGTGCCTTCTGACCAGGAGTGTCCCAGTGAGAAAAAATGAAAAGTCTTAAGAGGTGAAGATCAGATCATACCCACATAAGCAGAATTTGAGGGAGATTGTTACACATAGAAATTTTCATTGAGACCCTTTTGATTCTCACCCCTTTTTATCTATTAGGAGAAATCCCTGCTGCAGATGGTTCCCTTGGATGAAGGTGCCAGTGAGAAACCTCTTAAGGTCCCCAAGGAGATCTGGCTCCTGGTAGATCACTTATTCAGACACGCCTGTCACCAGGTGAGTGAGAGCGGGCCTGCCCTGCAACTTTGGAAGGTGTGTGAGTCCAGTGGGAAATGATAATACCTCACGTCAGTATATACAGTGCTTTTAACTTTCCCAAGCCACCTCCGCAGAGCAGCACTGTCATATCAGGTTGCCTGGGCAGATGGAAGTATCCCCGTTTACAGATGTGAGAGCTGAAGCATGCAAGCTAGGTGATTTACCTAAGACCACGGCATAAGAGTAATGGCGGAGCAGGGCCGAACTCCTCCCCTGTCTCCTGGCTACACATGCTTTCCCCTGGACTGCTGAGCACCTGAATCTGTAACGCCTGTTTTAGCTGTCATGGAAGCATTGCAGATTTCAAAGTCCAAAGCAAACTTCAAGCCCATTTCTTTAATTTGGTCCTCACTTTTCAATCCTATCTAAAATACCTGCCACCCCTAACCCATTCTTCCAAAAAAGAAAATGGGATTAAATTGAAAGATAATGTTGTCTTACCTATGGAAAAGTGAAAGAACTTGAAGGCAAGGTTTGGTATGGACATGCCCTTTTACTCCTACCCTAGCATTCTGTGTATCAGTATTTGAATGTGGTTCCATGTTTGGATTCTGCCTTCTACTTGTCAGGAGGCTAGAAGTGGGAACACCTGGTCTCCCCATGGAGTCCTCTAGTCCCCTGCCATATCAGGTACAGGCTGAAACCTCTGAAGATAATTTTCTAGTTTGAAATAAAATTTCAGACGGATTATAGAGATGATAAAGGGAAAAGGGGCCGTTGTCACACCTTTTATATATTAGGAACATATTCGTGTTCCTAATCATGAATATGCACCTCACCCTGCCCTTTGCTTCCTGCTGCTCTCCTGATCCCTGCGTGATCGTCAGAACCTTAGTGCTGATCATTTTGCTGTGTTCCATTCATTGTGACCTCTTTGGTAGGAGGACCTGTTCCAAACCCCTGGAATGCAGGAGGAGTTACAGCAGATCATTGATTGTCTGGATACCAGCATTCCCAAGACAATCCGTATCCTTTTCGACAAAGGCTTAGGAAGCTGGATGTGTACTTGCCCAAACTCTTCTTCCCACCTACATTTGATTTTTTTTCCATCTTTATTTTCTTTGTAGCTGTCTTTTATTATAAGGTAATCATTGACTATACAGTTAATTCCTCTCAGGAACTTTCGACCTCTCTCCTTATCAGACTCTTACTAAAAGGAATCAAGGGTTAGATAATGGCGACTTTTAATTGGCATGGGACATAGGACCCACAGCCATGGGGCTGTTCTGCTTTAAGCCAATGATCACTCCTGTCACCAGGACAGGGAGGAGGATGGGAAACGGTGGTGACTAGTTTCCAGTGTGAACTGTCATTCTACAGGCCACATTCCCTTGACTTTCAAGTTGGGCCAAACCTCCCAAGAGTCTTTGATCAATTCTGTAACAACTCAGCTGCAGCATACCTGGACCAATAAAATATCAAACCCCAATTAGGATCAGGGTGCTCTGAATAAGAGGAAGGAAACCATCCCTGAGGGACCTTGAGGAAGGGAGAAAATCGGGTCTAAGTGTGGCCTTTTCCTTGGAGCCTCTTTCCCTTGACGGGAGTCAATCCAGCTGGCAGTAATCACTCAGTGGCTGAGGCGCTGCTCATTTTCCTGGAAGCCCTGCCAGAGCCTGTCATCTGTTATGAGCTCTATCAGCGATGCCTCGACTCTGCTCAGGATCCCCGGATCTGCCGACAGGTGAATTTTATTGCTCTGAGAGTGTGTTTGAGGCATGTTCCCCCACAGAGAAATCATTGATTTTTACCAAACCAGCTGGGCATCCAGCTATGGATAGGATGGGTCTGGATCTGTTGTTCATGGCAGGGCACCAGCATTGAGAGTTGGGACCCTTAAATTTTAGGTTGTGTTATTTCCTATTATATTTGCCACCCTTTTCCAGTTGACCTATTGAGTAGGGTGGATACCTCTACTCTGGGGTAAGATTAGTGAAACAGATCGTACATGGGATTCTGGATGACATGACCAGGAAGGGTGGGTGACACTTGTGAGCCTTTCTTTTTGTCTTCTTGGTGTTTGTTTTTAATCTTGAAATGATTTTGATGCACAATAGCTGAGAATACCTCTGAATCAGACTAGTGAGTATCGGGAGGTGCTGCCACCCATGCTAAATGGCATTGCAGAGAAAACCACAGCCACCTGCCTAGGGAGATGGGAAAAGACCAGGCTAACACCCGTCTGCTCCTGAGGCAGGGCGTGCATGCGAATGTGTGGTAACTGCGTGACCTGCTTATTGAGTGGACAGGGGCCAAACAGGATGAGCATTCTGCCTCAGGAGTTATCATTTGACAGGTACTATATTGGTCATGAGTAAATAAAGGAGGAGTCCTGTAAGGGTTGGATTATAAACTACTTTTATGGCAGCTGTGAGCTCTTCTTACTCCCTTCCTCCACCTGTTATCCTCACTGCCCACCCCCTTTTTTAAAAAACAGGTGATTTCCCAGCTTCCAGGATGCCATAGAAATGTTTTTCGTTACTTGATGGCATTCCTTCGAGAACTGTTAAAATTCACTGAGTACAACAACGTCAGCGCCAACATGATCGGTAAGAGCACTTCCTAAGAATGGCCACACGGGGGCGTTGGTCAGGACGGTCCGTGTACGGTGCACACGTGTATTCCCTCCCTAGTGTCCAGGCCTGCGGCAGTCACTTCCTCCCACTGCCCTCATCCCCTGGCCCCCCCAGCCCCCATCCCTGAGGCTTCGCTTAGGTTGTGTCTGACCAAGGGTTTTCCCCTTTTCTTTCTCTCGCCCTCTAGCTACTCTCTTCACTAGCCTCCTCCTAAGGCCTCCACCCAACCTTATGGCAAGACAGACTCCAAGTGACCGCCAGCGTGCTACCCAGTTCCTTCTGAGTTTTCTGCTTGGGAGTGATGAAGACTAATAATAAGCCTTTTCCTCTTACTACTCTACAAGATTCTAGAGGCGGAAGATCTTGGGCACCAAGTATTTCAGAATGATTTGAAAAGATATGCCACAGGAAGGGTCTGTTGCAGAATTTTGAGGCTGTTGGCATGAAAAAGTTCTGTTTCTAGTGCGAAAGGAAGCGAGTTTCCTAATCCCTCCTTTACCATACCCTACGCAGCAAGATACTTTTAGACTTATATTGCCAAGCCAAAGTTACCATATTTTGGTGTTTTTCTGTTCTCTCTTTGTAAGGCAGAGAAATCTGTATTTACACTCCTTTACCTGGGGATGTGTTTGTTGCCTTCCTGCCCAGCTGTCATGATTGTCCTTAGCACCTGAGGCCTAAACTCTGAGATGTTCCCATTCTAGGCCTACAAGCACTACTTGCTGTAGCTCAGACTTGTCTGTAGTCCTTCGTCTAAAGCACTTTGGCCCCACCCCCTCCCCGTATCACCCCCTTTGCTCTCTACTCTGCTAATACTATCATGTCAAAAGAAGTCTGGGTGAAGCTTAGTGACTCCTTGGGTGTCTCCAAAAGTGAGTTAACCATCTCCATGTGGTTGTTACATGCATTTGTGCATCTCTACTACAATGGCATCTGTACATTTCTCTAACATTGGCCTATTATGGATCTGCAATGGGTGGAACCATATTCTCTCGTCTCAGACCACACTTAGTAGCAGAATGTTAGGGACTGTTAGAGATGACATCTCACTGATGTGAGAGAATCACAGTCAGAGTGGAAGCACTTTGAGTGTTTCAAGAGTGAGAATATTCATGCTCAACAGGTCCTGCTTCCTACCATCCATTTTGGTTCTTATTCAAATTTTACATGTGAACCAATCCTGGGTGTCTGTGGGGCCCATCCCCCACTTAGAAATCCACCTCCAGAGCAGCACTTGTACCACAGTCAAAAAGGGAGGCTGCACCTCAAGTGGGCCTCTCTGTAGAAACTGCTCCTTCCCCCAGCAGGGGCATTGAGGATAACCCTTAGAACCCCCCTCTCCGGTCTTCTGAAGTACCAGGGGCAGATGTCACCCACTCCCTCATCAGGACTGATTCTGGGCTCTACAACCAGCTGCCCTTAGCTCCCAGTCACCTTCTCCAGTGCTGTGTAAAAGAGACTGTGCAGTAGGGTGAACCAAGCACCTTCTCTCCCGCCCAAGACAACCTTCTGAGCTTGTCATTTACTCAAGCTCCTGCGGGGCAGCCCTTTTTTAAAAAAAGTAATCTATGTTGGTTGGCAA